ACTGAGCTATAACCTGAGCCCTAGGTTAGCTTTTTATCCTAAGTCAAATGGATTCTCTGATAGACATTGAGTAACTATTGCAGCAAGATTTAGATAGTCTAACATAGACTGACCTGATGTTATCAGAAAACGCTATTAATAGATATTCTTTTGTGGCATTCATTGCCACATTGTTATTTTAAAAGTTTTTTTCCTAAATTTAATGTTGTAGCTTCATTAATTATTTGATTTGATTCTCTGAAATACCAAAACAAACCTCTTTGGGAAATATATTTTTTCATTCTAATTCAGAATGCTTTTTCTTGTGTTCACTGCCTAATGTTGTTTCTTTGGTGTTGCATGTGATGTTGTTTCATGCAGTAATAGAGAGAGGAAAATCATTTAGCTTTGTCTATTAGAAAATATTCTGTATGTAATTTGTGGGAATCTGTAGGAGGTAAGAGAAATCTGTACAGAGGAATAAAAAGCCAAATAACCTGGTAATTCAAAAATCGAAAGTAATGATTTTATCTGTAAAATCAGTTATCTTTTTACCTATAGAATCTTTTAACTTATAGCTTGTGGTAGAAATAATTATTTTACATTGTAGATTGAACAAAATTCCAAAAAGGCCCTACTTTTGTTTCTCTGATTGTCCCTATCTTCTACAGAGGTCTTTGTTATTTTTAAGAATTTAAATACCATAAAATTGACTGTTTAAGTGTACTTTACAGTGATTTTTAACATATTCAGAAAGGTATATGATGCTAACCACTAATTCTATAACATTTTCATTAACCCATAAAGAAATCCTGTACCTAATAGCAGTGACTTCTCACCCCCAAACCACTGACTTAACATCTCTATGGATTTGTCTATTCTAGACATTTCATATATGTGGTCTTTTGTGTCTGGTCTCTTTTCACTTATCACATGTTTTAAGGTTCTTCTACAGTGTATCATGAATCAATACTTAATTCCTTTTTACGGCTGATTAATACTAGGTTATATGGAGATACCATATTTTATGTTTCCATTCATCAGTTTGAGATATGAGTTTTTCACACTTTTTAGATATTGTGAATAATGACAGATGAAAAAACATAAAATACCAAGAATTATGTCTGTTCTTATGTTTGATTATAATTATGCAAAAATTTTAAGGGTAATTATGCATTAAGGAAATATTCTGAGGCCAGAATCTAAGTCAAAGTTTTTAGAAGTAGAATTTTTACCCAGAGTTCATAATGTGGTTTTGTTTTGCAGTGTGCCAAAAGCAGTAATGCATTTTTTGGTTAATCATGTGAAAGATACTCTTCAGAGTGAGTTAGTAGGACAGCTGTATAAATCATCTTTATTGGATGATCTTCTGACTGAATCTGAGGACATGGCACAGCGTAGGAAAGAAGCAGCTGATATGCTAAAGGTAGGTATTTCAAGTTTTTTCAATTTTTTTTTTTACTTAGATTGTAGATATACTCATTCATATAGTATAAAATACATTCTGATCCTTAGATATATAGTTTTATATTATAACTGGGTTTTTTGTTGGTGGTCCTTAAATAGATTCAAATTCCAGAAGAGGTATTAGTAAAAATCTACATAAAAAGTGGAGCAGTTTCTCTACAAAGTTCAGATTAACATCTAAATATTAATGTAAATTCAATAAGCATTTTAAAGTTTTTATTTCTTTTAATGCAGGCATTACAAGGAGCCAGTCAAATTATTGCTGAAATCCGAGAGACTCATCTCTGGTGAAGAGAACTATGTAACACTGAGACTGTTGACTTGAAACCTGCTAGTTACTGCCTACTTGAGTAGAATTTTATTTATGAACTCCTGTGTATTGCAATGGTATGAATCTGCTCATGTGAAGATTGGCTATACACTGAAAAGTATACTCTGCATCACCGAACAAATCACATTTAATCCAAATAATAAATGGCTGTTTCTAAAGTTTCACAGTATATGTATATATACACACACACATATACATCTCCCTCTCTCTCTCAACAGTTTCATTTGAACTAACTGTTGGTGTTCTAGTTGTACAAAGCAGTTTGTCTGTGGATAAAGATGACCCGTGTAGTCTCTGTTAGTAGTCTTAAAGCTGCTGCAATAGTTCTTCAAGAAGAAAGCAGAAGACATTTCGTGAGACTTATAATGCATGCACTGTATAAACTGACCTGGCTTTGAAAGATGTGGGTTGGCAAGTTCCTCACTGTATTCCACCTGTCCTTCAATTTAGTTTTAAAAAAATCTATGCAGCCTTTGTTGTTAATAAGAAAGCTGAATGCATAAGAGGATCTGGAATACTGATAAAGATGCAGGGTACATACTGTGCAGTCACATAGCCCTTCCTCTTCTGGGTCCACATTGTCCAGTGCATTAAACATTAAAATTAGACCTGAAAACTAATTCTCTGCATTGAAACCATGCAGACTTAAATTACTTCATTGACTCAGTAATGATGGCCAGTTCCTTAAAGTTTCAGAAGAGCCAATGACAATAAAATTACCCTTAGTTTGCAAATATAGTAATAGTAATTTAGATATATCTTTTAAATGGGACATTGACATCAGGATTCAAAATTCACTAAAAAAATAGACTGATTTTAAGTCCCACTTCAATTTGTTGGTAATAGGTACTTTTGCTCCATACCAACAAAATATATTAGAATAGTGATATGTAAATCTGACGGAACTTTGTTAAAGAAAAACATCTAGACACACCTACTTCTAAAGGAATATAGGATATTAAATTGCATTCAGGGGGTGAGAGTGAGGTTTACAACTTGGTGAAAGTTGGCCAGGTGATTCTTGGCATGAGCTACAACATTAAAACCTTCAAGATATGTAGAAATGTCTACTCCATCTCTAACAGATTACACAGTCAGTAAAAGTTATATTGCAAATATTAAACTTTCTTTTCGGGTTATGACCAAATATTTGTGAAGGATTACTGGCAGGAAAGATATGGTATGTTAACTTATGGTACCCATTTACTGAGAAACAACAGGCTTGCAACTGATGGATCCCATACACATATAAAACAATTAAAATCAGTCTGAAATATGGTACTACTTTGAATCTGTTTACAGTACCAGCTTGACAGTGGATGCATGCTCCCAAAATGTTAGCACATTCAAAAACAAAATCACTCTTGTCACCATTGAACATCAGTTTTGAAATTATAGCCACCCATGATTTTTTTTTTTTTTTTTCCAGAGAGATCAGATGACTATCATTGTAGCCTTTGAATTTGTAAGGGAAAACAATTACAATGCACCTTTCTCCAGCACAGATTTTAAACTGAAAATGTTAGCTTTAAAAACATGCTATGGTAATGCACTTGCTAGTACTACACATTTTGTATAAAGAAAAAAAGAGGCAAGAAACTTTTGGAAAGAAGCAAGTCTTCCTTTGTTGGCCCTTAAACTGAGAGAGGTTTCTGAAGTGTGGAGATGATCTCTGGCATATTTATAAACGATACCTGTATGTTTTTGCTGTGTAAATAAAATTGCTGGTATGAAATGATATTTAAAAAGTTTGTCAATAAATGAATTCTTTCTAATTTGTCTCAGAGACAGGTTTAACTATAGCTTTTTAACATCTAAATCTACTTTAGAACCCAACAGTACAACTTACATTGTAATTAAGGTTTTATGACTTTCCTATTAGTCTCTCACAATCACTGTTATATCTCCATTTCTTCATTTGTGCACCAAGTAATCCAGGTAGTGGATAGCTGGAATCTGAACACGAAAGCCAAGCTTTGTGGCATGTAAGGTTTTCAGAATTCTGATCATTTTGTGTGTTTCCCTTGATCCTCGTAGAAATGATTTTTCAGATGTGGAAACAGTTCTGGAGAATTAATATGTCTAATGTATGCAGAGCTGAACTCAGTCCGGATTCCAAATTTCCAAATCCAAGTTTGACCTGAAAATTTCCCTTACCTGGATATCTTGATGTTCTCACATGATTACATTTTTGGTGAAATATTTACATTATTTTACTTGCTTGGTTTTATAAGATTTCTGTTTACTTAAGTTATAATCTACCTGGGAACAGATTAATCTAACTGGAGACACAGGAGGCTGTGGCAGGAGGATCGCCAAATTCAAACCCAGCTGCAGCCATGTGGCAAGGCCCTAAACAACTCAGGGAGACTCTGTCTCTAAAAAATGTAAAAAAGGGTTGGAGATGTGGCTGGGTGGTTAAGCATCCTTGGGTTCAATCCCTGGTACAAAAAGAAAAAAACAAAAAAAGAAATGCTACCCTTAGGAATCCACTGACAAAAGAAAGAAGGCTGTGAATAAATAATACTGAAACCATAAGCAAGGGACTGGAACACTGAAATAGAAACTTTCTGGAAAGTCAAGTATTGATTTTTGTGTGTGTTTTTTTTTTTTTTTTTGAGAAGAACTTGTAAGTAATTTATAATGTTAGCTATGGCCTCATCTAACATTTCTCTTTTTCTAAGGAGAACTCTGCTTCTTAACAAAAAAGCCAGAAAATTATGTTTCCAATAGGTTTTCCATTTCTAAAAGGACACCAGAGATACTGCTAGTTTTATAACAACTATGTAATACTAATGGGATCAGTGCTCAGTTCCTGACATAAAAGTATCACAATTCTTTTGTTCACTCTTTTTTTTTCTTTGGTACCAGGGATTGAACTCAGGGGCACTTAATCACTGAGCAACATCCCCAGCCCTTTTTTGTGTTTTATTTAGACACAGGTTCTCACTGAGTTGCTTAGGGCCTTGCTAATTTGCTGAGGCTGGGTTTGAACTCTCAATCCTCCTGCCTCTGCCTCCCGAGCTTCTGGGATTACAAGTATGCACCACCATATCCAGTTTTTGTTCATTCTTATCACTCCAAAGCAGAGCAAGAAAGATGGGGACATAGAAAAGGCACCATTTAAGTTTTTTGTAAAGCAGAATTTTTAAAATATTAATCCTGGAAATCATGGTTTTCTGTATTCGTCCTTAATGTTTGTGCCATCAGGAAATAAACCATCATTAAATAAACAACTTATTTATTAACCAATCTATAAAACAATTAAATTACTCACATTGTGAGGTCTAATATATATTCCATTCTCTGTTTTTTGTTCTGAAGCCAACCTTTCATGTTTTGAGAATGAATGATGGGTAAGTCTGAACAACCAAAAGGATTTTTCATCATAACTGAAGCCATTTTATAATGTAGAAATTCCTTTTTCCTATTTTAAGTAAGGAAAGTCCATTCTTGAGAATATGTTGTCCAACAACTAAAACACACTCGGGATTTGTTACTTGTCGATGATTTATACTGACTCCACCTTCTGTTATCATTCGATACCTAAAAATAGAAACATTTAGTAACTAGAGAGATCAATCACTGTTGACCTCTCCCCCAAAAAAGATACATCACTATTTCACTTAAATTTCAGAAGCTCTTTAAGTTTAACCATTTAGCACTGAATTTTTTTACACTTCATGTTCATTTGATTTGACTCTGCCTCCCTTTAATGACCTTCAAAAGAAGCAAATAATAGGCAAAACAGTAGGTTTCTTGTTTCATGGATAGAGAGGTAGGTTATTTCATAGCTTTTCACAGAACTATCCAGTTTGATAGTGCCTTTAAAAATTAAGATGAACAGGAATGGAGATTCATTTTCTGGATAGCCTGCTACCCACCTTTCTTTAGGGAAAAAAGTCAGAAAAGAAACTTCCAAAAGAGAGACAGCAATGGTGCTTTAATAAACTACCTCAGACACAAGACAACTACAGGGCAACCTACAAAAGTGTTTAGGAAACTTGCTTATAAAATCGGGGCAAGGGTTGTGGCTCAATGGTAAAGTACTTGCCTAGCACGCCTGAGGCACTAGGTTCAATCCCCAGCATCACATTAAAAAACTAACAAAGGTAATGTGTCCATCTATAACTAAAAAAAGAGAAAAAAATCCTTACAAATTACATTCTGAGACAGCAAAAAATAGTAAATTGTTTAAAAGGAAAAACTTTATTTCCTTTTATTTTAAAAATAAAGAGGCTAGAAAGAGGGTCTTGAAAGTATGAAAGAAAGGCAAAAGTTTTTTCTCATAATTAACTACTATATGGCATTTTATAAAACTCAACGAAAAAGGACTTTCTAAGACAGTTCTTTCTTTTAAAGGAAGTATTATTTTAGGCTGTTTCCAGATCATGTACCATGTTCATATTAATTAATTCAATTTAATTCAATTAATTAATTTAATTAAAGCCATTCATTATGAAATGGATATCAAGAGCTGAGATAGCCTCCCTCTTTTTCTCTAGTAAACAAATACACAGATTGACCCTAGTTAGTTTATACAATATAAAAATACAAATGAATATTACTTAGAACCCTGGCTAAATTAAGGTTACCTAAGTAGGAGTAAAACTTTCAGTATCAGCAAATACACCATACAAAAGAATAAATGCTTCCAGAGTGAAGAAAATTCTTAAAAACAGAAGAGTATGTACATAGAGTATGTATGTATATGATACTACCATCAAACTCAATGTATATTAAATAAACTAGTATATTAGACAATGGTGAAATTTGGGGCTCAAGGATAGAGGCAAATAATCCAAAACAACTGAAAGAGCAAGTATCAAATATAACAAATGTCACTCGTAACCATGAGCTGATAACTATTTGACTTCTGCTCGAAGTCATGAAGATGAAGCACTCCAGGTCTTATGACTAATGCTTTCCTTCTACATTTCCTTCCTCAATTTTGAATGAACAAGTGTCAATTATATGCCAAATTACTTCTTGTGGAGCCAAGTATTATTCCTTAATAGTATGGGGTAACTGAAATTTAAAATATTCTACCCACTTCCTGAATAAGAAAAATGCAATTCCCAAGGAGAATATTATATAGTTTATATTACCAGCCTCATGAAATTCTATCCTGTACTTATTTCATTTTAAGAAATTCAACTAATATTTTAAATAGGTTGGGAAACTTCTACTGTTCCCCAAAATAATGAGGATCAGAATATGAGAGGGGTTGTATGAATTTAATCACTTCTCAAATTGTAACTGTGTCCCTAAGCTGACTAATCCTAGTGCATTTACTAAACAAGGCAGTCCCTCCAACACAAGATCTCCCATGCTGAAAAACTGACTTAACAAGAGACAAGTATAGAGTACTGTACTTCACAGAAAAATGTATGGTATTTTCATAAATACTCAGTTTTTATCTTATTCTTGGATCAACCTAACTTCTATAAGGAATGAAATGCCATTCAAGCATTGTTGGGGAAACACCCTCTCTGGGAACACATCCTACAGAATGTCACATTTAACCATGAATTAACTGTGAATCAAAAAATTAAATAACCTTACCCTCGGGGACCATCTGGAATGGCATTTGCTTTGCGGCATGTATCTAGGACACTTGTTCCAGGGTCAAGAACTAATTCAGAAAATGAAGCTTCTTTAAACAACTCTTTTAACTCTTGATCCGACATGACCTCTAGTGCATCTATACTACTATGATAAAGGGCTTGTGTACACCTGAAAAAAACATTTAAAAGCCACATCATGTAAGTGCTTAACCAAATACATATTCTAATACTCATTACTCCAATAATGGAGTGTCCACTATGTTGCAAACAACAAGTTTTTCAAACAGCAGCATCTATCATGTATAATTCATAAACTTCATGCAAGATAATCTTTCCAATAAAGAGGGACGATTTTAAATACTTAAGTCAAATGACAATCCTTGTCAGTGATAAATGACAAGATAACTGTAAAACAGCTCTAAATTTTCTCAAGTTTATCAGATAAATAACTTTGTGAGGTGTTAATTATTCCAAAGGCTACCTTTTAGCAGAATCCAGTCCTTCTCGTCCATGAACAAGCTTTGTTACTTCTGCAGCAAGTCGTTTCTGAGCACTCCGCTTTTCTGGTTCTTTGACATGCAGCTGCATAATATGGTCAATTTCCGGAAGAGGCAGAAAAGTGAAGAGTTTCAGGTACCTTTAGGACAAGAAATTCAGTGTTACACTTACATCACACACTTAATTTTTCTTTCCAGTTCCCTTATTCTTTAAAGAATACTTTGCTTGGGCTGGGGTTGTAGCTCAGTGGTAGATCACCTGCCTAGCATGTGTGAGGTAATGGGTTCACTCCTCAGCAACACATAAAAATAAATAAAGGTATTGTGTCCATAAAAAATAAAACATTCGGGCTGGGGTTGTGGCTCAGAGGTACAGCACATGCACGAGACCCTGGGTTCGATCTTCAGCACCACATTAAAAAAAAAAAAAAAAAGTGAAATAAAGGTATTGTGTTCAACTACAACTAAAAAACATTAAAAAAAATAAAGCATTAAAAAAATACCTTGCTTTCTTTTAAATTATTTCTAAATATGAAAATAAATGTTCAGAAATGTACTAAAAGTAATAATAGATATTTATGCATACACCAGTGGGACTGAAGAAATAATACTATTTTGCCATATTTGTTTTGATCTTTTTCTTCTTTTTAATACTAGGAATTGAACCCAGAGGCACTCTTACCACTGAATTTCATCCCCAATCCTTTTTAATTTTGAGGCAGAATATCACTAAGTTGCCCAGGCTGGCCTTGAACTTGTGATTTTCCTGCTTCAGCTGCCCCAATCGCTGCGATTATAGGAATGTGCTATGCCTGGCTCTATCTTTACTTTTTAAAAGGAATAAAATGATATAGATCTAAATGAAGTTTCCAGCCCCATAACATTTCCTTCCTTGCCCTCAGAGATAACTACTAATCTAAACTTATGTTTATCATTCCCAAGCATGTTTTTATACTTTTGCTTATGTGTATGAATCCACAAAGTATTGTATAAACACATAAATGACATAGTATCATTAAATAAATGATATTAATAATATCATTCTTATATGTATCCTCTTATTTAACCTTTTTCTTTGGTGAAATATAACACATAATAAACATTAATTGCAAACATATAGCTAATGGATCACTATACAGCGAACATCTACATAGCCATCACTTTGATTAATAACAACACTGCCTCTACCTAATGAAGTCCAAATATTTCAAAGTAACGAATCTGCTTTTAATGATAATCACTTTTCTTTTAACATCTCAGTAGGCCTCCTTAAACAGCATCATTTAGTTCCCCCCGCCCTTTTCTTTTTTAAGCTGGGGTCTTGCTAGGTTGCCCAGGGTGGCCTCAAATTCCTGGGCTCACGTGATCCACCTGCCTCAGCTTCCTGAATGTGTATGACTACAAATATGCCATTGTGTCCAGCAAGCTTTGCCTCATTTTAAGACTATATGAATTAATGTAATTCTGCAACCTGTACACTCAGAAAAATGAGAAATTATATCCCATCTGACTCAAATGTATGATATGTCAAGATCATTGTGCTGTTATGTAACTAATTAAAACAAATTAAAAAAAGAATACTGAGAAAACTACTCAGATGCAAAAAAAAAAAAAAAAAGACTATGAATGAATGAAATACAGAATGTATTTTTGTGTTTGGCTACTTTGGCAACTAAGTTTAGGAGATTCATGCAATGATGTTACATGTACTACATCCCATGCTATTAATACCCCATAATACATTTACTTATTCTGTTCTGAGTATTTGTGTTATTTCTATTTTTGGACAAATGCTAATACTGCATCTCTGAATATCCTCATTTATTTCTCTCACATGTGCACTAACTTCTGTTGGGTATGTACCCAGCAGAGGAAATGCTGGATTATAGCTTACTTACACATTCAATTTCTCTTTCTAAAGCGGCTCTAAAATTTATTCTTCCACCACCATGGAACATTTTCACCAACTTGTTATGATTTGGATGTAGGGTCCCCCAAAAAGCTCACGTGTGAGACAATTCGAGAGGGTTCAAAAAAGGATTGGATTGTGACAGCCTTAACCTAATCAGTGAATTAATCACCTGATGGGATTGGTAATTGAAAGCAGGTAGGGTGTGGCTGGAGGAGGTGGGGTACTTGGTGCATGGCTTTGGGGTATATATTTGTATCTGGTGAGTGGAGTCTGTCTCTCTGCTTTCTGATCATCATATGAGGTGGTTCCCTCTGCCACACTTTCCCGCCCTTATGAACAGCCTTATTTCCAGCACTGAGGAATGAAGCCAGCTTTCTACGGACTAAAATCTCTGAAACTGTGTGCCTTCAAATAAACTTTTCTTCCCTAAAATTGTTCTGGTCAGATTTTCTTAGTCACAGCAGTCAAAAAGCTGACTAAAACACCAACACTTGGTATTGCTAACTCTCATGGTTAGCCATCATAGAGGGTAAATAAATGTACCTCATTGCGCTTTCATCTTGCAGTTTTCTTCTTAAGGCTGAGGGGTTTTTTTTATGCTTTTGGCCTTTTGGAGAGGAACTTTGTGAAGTGCCTATTCAAGTCTCTATTTTTCTGCTGAGTTCTTTTTCTCATTGGCTTTGAGAAATTATTTTTAAAAAATATTTATTTTTTAGCTTTAGGTGGACACAGTATATTTTATTTTTATATGGTGCTAAGGATTGAACCCAGCGCCTCATGCATGCTAGGCGAGCACTCTACCACTGAGCCACATTTCCAGCCCTTTTGAGAAATTACAAGGTCATCAAGTACATATACTAAAAATAACTTCTCCTACTGATTATGGTGACTTTTGCTGAACAGCAGATCTTTATATTCTAATTTAGTCTGATTTATCAATCTTTTCCTTTTATGTCCCACTTAAGATCTTTCCCTATCCCAAACTCATGAAGCTACTTTTCTATTTCTAAGAGTTTTACTGTTTTGTCTTTTATCATAGAGTTACATTTATAATCTATATAGAATTGACTTTCGTATGCAATATAAGGTTGTTTCATTTTTTTTTCACATCTAATTATTCAAACAATATTTACCGAAAAGACTGTCTTACTCCATTCTCTGCAGTGCAACCTTTGTTAGAAATATGCTAGTCTTTATTCTCTAATTCATCCCATTGGACTCTTTTCTTAACCTTACATTTAAACTTATACTTCAAAGTCATTTTTAGAAATAATAAGTGAGTTTAGTAGGGTTGTCAGATACAAAATTAATATATAGAAATTAAGCTGTCAGGGACAGTGGTGCACACCTCTAATCCCAGCTACTCAGGAGGATTGCCAAGTCTGAGGTCAGCCCAGGCAACTCAGTGAGAATGTCAAAATAAAAACAAAAAAAGGATTGGTGATGTAGCTTGGTTGTAGAACACCCTGGGTTCAATCTTCAGTACTGGGTAGAAAAAAAAAAAAAAAAAAACCCAAGAGAAAAAAAAAACCAATTGTTTTCCTATATATCAGAACAAAATAGAAAGTAAATTTTTCAAAAAATATCATTTTTCCCCCCTGCAGTGATGGGGATTGAACCCAGGGCTTCACACACGCTAGGCAAGCACTACTCTGCCACTGAGCTACATAAGTAGCCTAATATACCAGGTTTTTTTTTCCTTAATATCTTTATTATTTATTTATTTATATGTGGTGCTGAGGATTGAACCCAGCGCCTTGCACATGCTAGGCCAGCGCTCTACCGCTGAGCCACAACCCCAGCCCCTAATATATCAGTTTTTGATACATTAAAACACTAGGACTCTATCATCAAGCATGCTAAGAATAAATCTAAAGAAAAAAATACACTTAGTTATTATAAATTTGCAATAAGTCATGACATCTTCCACTCTGTTTTTCAAAATTGTCTTGGCCAATCTTTTGTCCTTTTTATTTCCAGGAAAATCTTGAAATTAGTTTGTCAAGTTTCCTATAAAAGCCTGCTTATATATGATTGGGGCTGCAATGAACATACAGATCAAACTGAGAACTGATATCTTCTTATATTATGAATATGGTATAACTCTCAATTTATGTAGATCTTCTTTATTTTGCTCAATAATGTTTTCTGATATTCTTCAGAAGAGTCTTAAACATTTTAAAAGAATTACTTCCTAAATTATTTTAAAGATACAATATTTTTATTTTCTCTTTGTTGCAGGTATATTTGCTTTCTCATACTCTTCCAAGAGTATAATGCAATGTGAATTAATGAGAAAAATCACTTTAAACGTGTTTATGTTACATTCAAGAAGGAAACTGTTTTATCTTTTATCATAGAATTATACCTATGAGATGAACAACAGAAAAATAAGCATAGTCAAATTTAAAATCAAAGGAGGGGGAAAAAAAAGTAGAACATTCAAGGAATAAACTCCTTGCTAGATACAGATAAAAGTAACTTGGCTGTAAGTTTTCTAGTCAACCACTGTGGTTGTCTGTTTTAATTAACAAAAAGTGTCTAAAACATGGTTAAAATTAGAGTTCTAAAATGTAATGGTTTATGCCTTAAATAAAAATCTAAGTAAAAAATTCCAAGGAACTCTAAAGGGTATACTGGAATTCGAAGAATAAAATTATATGAGCTTATGACATTAGTTTTTCTCAGCCAACTATTAAGAACTCACCTTTCAACAGAATCATCTTGCAGTCTCACAAAGAATTGATATAATTCAAATGGAGATGTCTTATCTCTGTTTAGCCAAACAGCATTGCCAGCAGACTTTCCCAGCTTTGCTCCAGTTGTATTTGTAATTAAAGGAACAGTGATTCCAAATACATCTTCTCCAGTCAACCTATACATAAAGACAAACTTCATGATTTGCTTCAAGCACAAGTAGTGGTAGGCCGCCACTATTCACCCTTCACATTTCAGCCTGGTTACTTACTTGCTCCAAGAAAATGTGACCTAAATCTGTATTATTTTCTCTGTTATATATTGTGACAGCACTCACCCTTCATTTGCATTTATCATTTTGTCATCCTGGGACAACTGCACGTGTAACTTGAGCAAGCCAAGGAAGTGATTTTGAAAGGTCAGGAGGAAAGACAGAAAGCTGGGTGAAGGGGAGTCAGGAGGAGGCACTCACTAAAGGGGTTGCTTAAAGGGGTGTTTAAATGAGTTTTTCTCAGTAGGACATGGGCTAGCTCTATACTTCATCTTCCTCAAAAAGAGAAAGTCATTAAAATCTGCATTACTTGGCAAATATTTGGAGTTGCAAAAAAAAATATTATGAGATGCCAACTGGAGACTAGAACTAGTTTCATGGAGAGTAAGAACTAAAGCAAAATCTGGGGCCCAGTTACCGAAGCCAACAAAATAATTTTCTCAAACTAAAAACAGGGCGATTTAAGTGAAACAGTCCCAATTTGAATCTTGAGTAGAGGTCTATTTCCTCTTAAGTTCCGGAATACGCCTCCAGCTCTTAATACTCTTAATTCAGCCCTTTAGTTCTCAATTGCCAGTGTCATGAACCCCCTTATAGATCCTTAATAAGGATAAAAACCAATAAGGGCTTGAATGAAGGGCAGCATTCCACCATTCTAGTCATGAATTACAGGGTGCTAATGTGTAAAGGTAGTTCCTGGATTTCTGAGGATCTAAAGGCGCTTACTTGTGGATAAACTCGTATCCAGACACGATGTTGCCCAGCTGATCAGACCCACCCAGCTGGACCCGGCATCCATAACGCTGGAACAGGTAATAGAAGTCATAGGCCTGGAGCACCTGGTAAAAGAACTCGGCCAAGCTCATGCCCTCGGGGCTCTGGAGTCGCGTCTGCACGCTCAGTCTGCTCAGCAGCGTGCCCATTCGGAAGTGGCCACCCACAGCTGCCAGGAAGTCGACCAGGTGCTGCTTCTGGTACCAGGCCGAGTTGTCCAACACCGTGAAGCTGCCCCAGGTCCGCCCATCAGTGAAGAGCTGCTGGTGATTAGCCGCCAGGGCCTCAAGCCCGAGGCGGAGGGCGCGAGCGTTGGCTCCTACGCGCTCCGCATCCAGCGCCTCGCGCTCTTTGGTTCGGCCGCTGGGGTCTCCCAGGCGCGCGGTGGCGCCTCCCACCAGCGCGATCACGTTGTGGCCAGCTCGCTGGAAGTGAAACAGGCTCAACAGCGCTAGCAGGTGTCCCACGTGGAGCGAGTCCCCCGTGGGGTCGAAGCCACAGTAGATAGTCTGAGGAGAGTAGCCCGCCGCGCTACGGTCGAACAGCTGTGGGAGCTCTAGCTTCGTACCCCTCTCGGGGAAGAAGTCCTTAAACAGACCCCGAGCCTTCTGCGCCGCTAGTAAACCCTGAGCGCCCGAGTGGGCCTTGCGCAGCCCCAGAGCCAAAACTCCTGACAAGCCTGGGGTCCCAGACCACCAGCACCGGGAAAAGCACCGCAACATGGGCGCCGCCATCTTGGCGGCGGCACGAAAGGAATGCTGGGCTCTAAGAGGCCCGCCACGCCCCTCAGTGCCCGCCTTTAGCAGCGCCTGTAGTGTTTTTCTGCGCATGCTCGGGAAGGGCGGGAGGTGGTTACTTAGTTACGGAACCTGCATTCTGGCAGTCCCTGGAGTTCTGATTATATCCATTCCAGCTTGTTGGCTTCAAGTGTTCACTAAAATGTAATTTCCTCATTTTCCATGTGGATATGTTTATAATAATAGTTCCAAACTCACAGCCCTGTTGTGAGGATTAAGGACTAAAGCACTGGGCACCTAGCACTCTACAAAACGTTAACTTTGTAAAAAGTTGTGCTGCGCAAATTCTTTGAAACCTTGGTTCTCTGTAGAAACCTGCTCAGGAGTTGTGAAAAGTTAGGAGCTGATTTAACTTCATGGGGAGATGGAGTTGGCGTTGAGACTTCATCTCACAGTACCGATTCCCTAAGTGGGTGAGCTCCTCAGCCCCCGGCGTTCTCTAGTTTCTCCTGCAGGTGGCAGCCTCGTCCATGGTACGAAAGAAAAGTGAGCACAGTAAGTGAAATGCACAACTCCTTGCTTATTTATTTATTTAACCACAGCTGGGCACCGCCCTGCAGGAGTGGATTCAAATTACTAATCACATCACCTCAGCATGGCAGGTGCCGCTCACCAGGGACAGGGTTCTAACTAGCAGCGGGCTGGCAGGTGATCCACTCCAAATCCCTTTTTAGAATCTGATCTTCAGGACCATTTTCAATACGAACTATCTTAGGGTGGGTTCCCAGGACTACAAGTTGGAGATTTGTATGCCGGAGGATTACTGTGTCCTTTTGTGAGCACCACCTGTAATGGAGCGAGGGAAGCAGGTCTGGCAGAGAGAGAGGACGTACTGTGAACAGTTGGCAACGGAGAACTCAGATGATTCCGTGAAGGCTCTGGAGCTGGGATTTCCAAGTTATACGAATTGAAGCAATCGGTAGAAATTATGCCGTCTTATTTTCTAGTCATTAGAGGTGGAATGACCCTGGGGAGGAGACAAAACCGTGGCAAGTGGAGGGCCATCTGCAGAAAAGGGCTCAGCTGTGAGTCATCAGCAACCGACAGTCCCAGCAGCTGCAGGGATTGAGTGCCTCCTCCTGGGGCAGGGATCTGGACCAAGCCCCAAACCATTCCCCGCAAGACCTTTCAATTTCTTAATATTAAGTCATTTAAATAAATAAAATCTTATTTTAATAATTAGTTTCTTTGCATGTGTAATTATCAATGAATTGAATTTCTCATTATCAATAGTAACTTCAATAGGATTTTAAGGTACTCATTTAACAAGTAGTATAACATGAGCCCTGTTGCTGAAGAAAATAATCAATGTGTTTTTTCATGTTGCTATTCAAAATATCTTAAAATTTACAATCATAACCTGTTGCATCCACAATCTTTATGTCCCATCAAATTGATAAGGGACTGATTTCAATATGCATAGCTGGAAATTCTTCTGAGCACCTAGCAGATACTAGGCTTAGTACCTAACAAAAGGGAAGATTTGGACGTTTTTCCAGGGGACTTATTCTTGAGGCTTCTGGTCAATATGACACATCCCTATCTGTGGCTTTTTAAGGTGTGTTAGCAATTTTATACCAGAAAGTATGACTTCACATTGTGGTCTTCTCAAATGGCTTCAGTGTTGCTAGTATTCTTTTTTCTTTTTATTTTTTATTTGTTCTTTTTAGATGTACATGGCAGTATAGTGTATTATGACATATTCTGCATACATGGAGTATACCGTCTTTTAATTTGCAGTTGTACATGATGTGGGGTTTCACTGGCTGTGTATTCATATATGAACAGGAAAGTTATGTTGCTATTATTCGTGAAACCCACACTGTAAATCGTAAAGACTCTTCCCACACAGCCCATTCTCACCTGTAAAACAATTGCTTCCCTTTCATTTCATACTAATGCCAGGAAATTCCTCTCTGTTGGGTTGAACAAGGGAAAGAAGCTTTTACTATCCAGGCTCACTACACCCCTAAATGTCTTAGAATATGAAATCAGTAATGTTTATCCTTACAAAAAAGACTAAATTCTATTAAAAATATAAATTCATGTAAGCCTAGTGCTTTGAAATCTAGTCTATGTCCTTTGAAGTGGCTCTAATGCTTTTTGAGCAGGTGATTATCTTAACATCCAAACATTTTATACAAGAGATTTAATTTAAGCTGTCAGTTGCAGGAGGATAATTAGATAAAGAAGAAAAAAACATGTCTGCTTGTGCATTTCCTTTCTGTATTAGAGTTTAGAGAAGCATACAACTGGTGTTCTTTCTCTTAAGCTGTTTCTTTAGCCTTGGGTGCAATCTGGAGGTCTCAGAATTGCCTTAATAGTATCTTCCTGGCCCTGTGCCTAGCTGGCTTGATAATATTTTGAGATAATTAGGTTTTTTTTTGTAATTTTCCATTTTCCAGTCTATCTATTTATGTTTGTAGCACACCAGCGTCTTTGGGAAGTTACAAGTTAGGGAGAGACGCAGAGTTAGCTGGGAACTTATTGCAGTTCTTATTTCCAAAGGTTAAAACCTAAGACAGAATAAAATCTGAGGAATAAACTTAGAAAAGCAGAAGAGAAAGAAATGGGTTCTCCACTTTAAAGAGGGCCCCGACCTCTTCAGGTTAAAAGAGCCTAGGCTGTTGACCTCATTTGCCAGAGGAACTGTGTGTGTACTGTGCCCCAGACTCATAGAGGTGGCCTCCTGACACCCTGCAGGCCTGGGGCTATAGTCTCACCAACATTCCTCTGCTCTGGCTGAGGCAGGGGAGCAAGCTGAGTGCCAGCTGGAGGTCTCAGAAAACCACTGGAGGCTTGGCCAATAAGGATAGCTAATGTTATGGTTTGAATGTGTCCCCTGGAAGCTCATGTGTGAGACAATGCAAGAAGGTTTACTGGAGAAATGACTGGGTTATGAAAGACTCAACCCCATCAATGAATTAATCAATCCCATGATAGGATTAATTGAGTGGAAACTGAAGGCAGGTAGCGTGTGACGGGAGGAGGTGGGTCATTGGGGGCATGTCTGTGGGGGATATATTTTGTATTTGGCAAGTTGAGTCTCTCTTTCTGATTATCATGTAAGCTGGTTCCCTCCACCACACTCTTTAACCATGATGTTCTGCCTCACCTCGTGAGCCTGCAGTCTATGGATTGAGACCTCTGAAACTGTGAGCCCCAAAACTTCTCCTCCTCTCCAATTGTTCTTGTCAAATCTTTTAGTCATAGCAGTGAAAAAAGCTGACTAAAACAGCTAGAATGAACTGGATAGATTGAAAATAAAAGTTATTACTTCCTGGGCAACCATGATCAAATTTCAGTAAATTCCTAGAATGGGGGAGGAAATCCAGTCATAATAGAGAAGCAATTTCCAACCATTTTGGTGAATTAAAGATATGGAAGTTTATTTATTCATTTAACAAGAATTTATTGGTACTGGGGATTGAATTACTGATGACACAGTCCTTTTTATTTTTTGAGACAGGGTCTCCTTATATTGTTAAGGTTGGCCTTGAACTTGCCATCCTCCTGCTTCAGCCTCCCAAGTAGCTAGGATTACAGACATATGGGCTTCGTGCCTGACAACAAATATTTATTAAAAATATTTGATGAGTCAAGTGCTGTTTTAATGGCTTAGAACATGTTCATGACCGGAAGAAAGATTCTTCCCTCATGGAGGTGGAATTGTCCTATGAAGTTGTATTTCTCTGAGTAGTCCAGTTCTCCATTAACCACTCTCTGATCGGGGATCTTTCCCTCCCCTAATCCTTAAAGCCGAGTGAGGGAATGAGATGCCAAGGTAATGAGTCAGGAACATGCTGAGGATGGGGCTGTGGTAGAGAAATGTTTGTTGGATGGACACGCCTTCACAAGGGTGGTGCTTGACAACTGGAGATCAAGGGCTCTGAGCCACAGAACTCAAACTATTCTTCCTCTTTCAGTCTGCAGCTGTTTCTCTTCACAATTGCTTTACTGAATCTTTCTCCTCACACTGCCTTGTCCCCAGCATGCTTGTCTTTGGCTCTGAGCTCTGTGATGACCAGTGCAATCCCCACTAGCATTTTGTTTTACAGTCTTTTTGGTCAGGAGCATCATTTAGGAGTGACTGGCAAGCAATGGAAGCAGCTCATCTATTTGCCAATGTGGTGGAAAAGCAAGCTTCCTTAGAAACCAGATCTTGGAGAGACCAGGTGTGGTTGCATTTTGAAAAGCTTAGTTAAAAAGGATAATATGTTGGGGCTGGGGATGTGGCTCAAGCGGTAGCGTGCTCGCCTGCCATGCGTGCGGCCCGAGTTCGATCCTCAGCACCACCTACAAACAAAGATGTTGTGTCTGCTGAAAACTAAAAAAAAGAAAAATAAATATTAAAAAAATTCTCTCTCTCTCTTAAAAAAAAAAAAAGGATAATATCTTGTGCTGGGATTGTGGCTCTACCCTAGCACCAATGGGACCTGGGTTCGATCCTCAGCACCACATAAAAATAAAGGCATTGTATTGTGTCCATCTACACCTACAAAAAAAAAATAATATTTTCAATCAAAATAATTTTGGAATTTTTTCTTTCTCAAGTTACCATAGTAATTTTCTGGTCTCTGATACCATGTTCAAGCAAATCCATCAACTCAGCATTGTCCAGTTGAGGCCAAGTAAATTTACAGCTCCATTGGAGAGAGAAAACAATAAGCCAATGTTTCGTAGAACATTTCTATTTTAATTAAATTTATTTTTGTCTTTTTGTTTGTGCTGTCTTCAACATAGACTTTGTTTTTCTGCTGTAAATACTGAATGGCCAATTATTTAATAAGAAGCGAGTCTGGAAATATCTTCTAACTACCCTTCTGTAACATCAGAATGGAATCAAATGCCTTGTATTTATTTGCCTCAAGCAGAAAAGTCAAACATGACTTCCTTCATTCTCACAACAACAAATTAAAGTTTTGAGTTCTCTAAAGACCACCAAACTAGGACTCAT